CATAAATACAATATAAGCCAACCACAAACCATAATATATGAATTTTGCATGAATTGGAACTCAAACGACCGAGAAAAATCCGAAACAAAGCTGAAACATTGTAAAAACAGCATCTAAAACCTTCTTTTTACGCATGTAGACAAGCGTAATCACGTAACTTGCTGTATTTTTCTGTTTTAGTGACTAGGTGTGAGATCGACGCAAAACTTAAGGGCGCGGTTGTGTGTAAGTAGACAAGGGGCCTGTGCGTGCGTTAATGTGTGTTAGATGGTTTCTAATGTGCTAGTTTTGTGGCGTTTAATATTGATTTTGATACGTTATTGTGCTAGGTAACTCTCGTTTGTGTTAATCTGTATACATTTGTCGGTGATAATGGAGTAATTTCTGCTTTGCTAAACTGCTGAGAATTGTTGTGGGAATGTTTGTCGTTTGAATATGCATAAATTGTTCGGCGTGTTTCGTGTGTTTTATCATATCTAGCAACGCTTATTGAATATTGATGTTGGATATTAAGTGTCTTGGATGAACTGTGTTGGGCTCTAATTGTTTAAAATTTGTTTGGTTATGCTTTGTTGTGACAAAACTCATTGTGGAGCTGTTGTTGAGAAATGTTATGTTGTGAAAGCATGATTGGTTTATTATTTCATTATTAGAGTGTTGTTTATGTTATGGAAGCATGCTGAATTGTGTTTGAGAGCTGAAAGATGCATGGGTCATGGCTTAAGAAAGCATATAGTAAGACTCTGGTGAGAGTTGGATTCTTGGGGAAAGTGAATGGGTGAGTGTCAGGGCCTCGGGTATAAATGGTCGGGGGCTGATACGTCACTAATTGAGTATCGATGCCTCAGGTAAAAATGGTCGAGGGTCGATGCGAGGAGTCTTTTGGAAGGAAAACTATTGGGGCCTTGGGTAAAAATGGTCAAGGCCGATAGATGGTGAAGTCATCGGGGCCTTGGGTAAAAATGGTCGAGGGCCGATGCGGTAGTGTCGGGGCTCTGGGTAAAAATGGTCAGGGGCCGACTCTACTCGAAGAAGTTAACTGTGGAAGGCTAGGATAGCTGTGATAAGCGTAGAGGTACTTGAGATGTTAGGGAGACTCGAGGTTGGTAACTAATTGGTTCATGGTTGTGGTTATTGCCGAATCTTATAGAATGTGTATATGTTTGATTGCATAATGTGATGAAGAGCATGACTATGAATGTTTCATGATTTGGTTCACCATGATGTGTGTGTGTTGTTGGTGAGGGCTACTTACGGAGTATATTTCATATACTCATCCCCTCTACAATTATTGTTTCAGGTGAAGGACTCGTTGGCGACCATGGTGATGAGACGGAGGAGACCTGACGAGCGAGGACCATAGGCTGCGTAGTCACTTTTGCTTAGCATTAAGTTAGATGGTTAAGACCTTATGTTATGGTCAATAAACTATTTGTTCGTATTTGAATAATTGGGAGGTCCCCACTCGTTGTTTACTTTATTTCTGGATAGGTGATTATTTTAGTTTTCTTCCATTCATTGAATTTGCCTAGTTGGAATAATAAAGTTGCCTAATGAGGTTGTCCACGGATGATGTTTGAATGATATTCTATAGAAGTGTTTCATTGTTAATTTGAAGAGAAATGAAGCTTTATCTTATACAATTATTTCACAGGGGGTTGTCATCTTGTGTTGGGGTTAAGTTTAGACAGGTGGGTAGTTAACGTGACTTATAAGTGTATGGGAAGTCCTGGGGCGTTACAAGCGGGGCCTGGGTCTTATGGTACCACGTAAAATCAAAACAATATTAACGAAAAAATTCCCAGTTCATTAAATAACAAGAGGAGTCACATCGACGGTGGTAGTCCACTGTTCATCTTATGGATAATACACGCGCAAGTGCTCGACGTTCCATGTGTGGCAAAAGCGCCTGCCATCCAGGTCCTCAAGCGTGTAGGTCCTTGGTCGGATGATGCCCGTCTTGCGGTACAGTCCTTCCCAGTTCAGGCCGAGTTCCCATTCGCGCATTCTTTCTTGTTCAGCATCAGCTTTCTCAGCACCAATGCTCCGATTGCGAATTTACGCTGCTTCACTCGTGAGTTGTAGTACCTGGCCACTCGATTCTGGTGTCTAGCCACTCGCAGGCGAGCGATTTCCCTGTGTTCTTCAATGAGGTCCAGGGAGCTCAGAATTCCTTCCTCATTGAGGCCCTAATCAAAGGCTACAATTCTCAATGGGGGGACTTCCATTTCCACGGGTACTACAGCCTCCATCACGAACGACAGCGAGTAGGAGGTTTCACCCGTCGAAGTCCTTGGGGTAACTCTTTAAGTCCATAAGATGCCCGGAAGTTCCTCTGTCCACTAGCCCTTGAGCTTCTCGAGCTAACCTTTAAGATTATTTTGATGATCTTGTTCACAGCTTTCCCTCCCTCAAAACAATGCTCCTCACCAAATGCGCTTCCTTAGATTGGGGCAACACAACAATGAGTAGT